GAGAAAGCATACTGGTTTCCTGTCATTATAAGCAGTTCTTTGAATATGATATAAACATTCTTGATATTCCACTTCAGTGTTTGCTAATTTTATCATTGTGTTTCTGCAGCTTATATATTTGCGAAAAAACATGAAATGGACATGGAAGCGGGCGAGAAAAAAAGAAGTAAAAAGGGCAAAAAGGGTGTTGTGAACACCGAGGTCGAGAAGAAAGATGCAGAAAACATCAAAGTTGCAGAAACTGATAAGACTAAGAAACCAGAAACTGCAATACCGGTGAAGGAAGAAGCCAAACCGATCCCTGAAGCAGACCCGCTGTTTGATTTCACAGATGCAGTTGATCAGTCGTCGTTTCAGACTGCGGCACCTGAGCCTGTAAAGCTAGCTAGGAAACCGATTCCAGAAGATGATCAAAGGGAGCTTTTCAAGTGGATCTTGGAAGAGAAAAGGAATATAGAACCAAAAGACAGGAAAGAGAAGAAACAAATCGATGAAGATAAAGCTATTTTGAAACAGTTCATTCGCGCCGAGAGGATTCCCAAATTTCTCCCTGATGATTCTGTTGATTCTTCACTTCGCGATTGGGACAAATTCTTCTCCAAGTAGAAACAGAAAAACTAGTGTACTTGATTTTTTTGTTGGTACACACCATTGCTTTTTTTTTTTTTTTTAACTACTTTGATTGTTGACTTTAGTTAAAGAACAGTTCAAATATGATTTGTCAGTGGACCTTGGGGGTGGTAATCTTCCTTGTAAAAACATTGAGGTTATTTTGTTAATTTCTCAAAAGATAGTGGGCTTTAAACTAATATTCAATAAATAGAGGGTGTTTACGCAAAAGAGCGTTATTTGTGTACGATATAAATTGCTTAAACCCTAAAATGAAGAACCTTAGCTGAAACTGATCATCGTCTTTACACAGACTCGAATTCGACGAATCCGATTTCAGAACCAGGAAAAATGGTTCGCAGCCTAAACCTTAAGAAGGCAAAGAGGAAGAACAAGGTTTGTAATCCGAATTCGCCTTTTCGTGTGTAAATTATCAATCCAATCTGATTATCCTCAAATCGAAACCTAATTTTGATGTTTGAAATTGAACAGAAGAAGAAGGAAGATCCGTCTTCTTCCTCGATTCCTTCGATGCCAACTAGGGTTTGGCAACCAGGTGTCGATAAACTCGAAGATGGTGAAGAACTTCAGTGCGACCCTTCTGCTTACAATTCCCTTCATGGATTCCATGTTGGTTGGCCCTGTTTGAGGTAATTCAGACGAGATTTGCTAAAAGCCTGAAACTTTATGGATTATTACAGTGCAAGTGTTTGGTGATTTGATGGTTTCTATTCTTTTTGTTTCCAGTTTTGACATTTTAGGTGATAAGTTGGGTATGAATCGAACTGAGTTTCCTCACACAGTTTATATGGTGGCTGGTACTCAGGTAAGTGTTGTTATACCTTTGTATCTTCGAATTTATGTGTGTTTTTAGAGTCTTGTGTTAAGTTGTTCAAATGCTTGTGAATGTTTAGGCTGAGAAAGCAGCTTTCAACTCCATTGGGTTGTTTAAAATCACCAATGTATCTGGTAAGAGACGCGATGTAGTGCCCAAGACACTTGTGAATGGTGGAGATGATATGGAAGATGGCGAAGATGAGAGCAGTGACAGCGATGAGGAAAGCGATGATGGGGATTCCAAGATTCCAAACGTTCAGGCAATTCTTGATTCGTTTTATGTTAATTCATCTATGCTCTCTGAAGTCTAGAGAGTCTTCATGATTGATATATTGTCTCAAAATTTTGTTATATCCAGGTTCGTAGGGTTGCTCACCATGGATGTGTTAACCGCATTCGTGCAATGCCACAAAAACCTCAAGTCTGTGTCTCTTGGTCAGATTCTGGTCATGTACAGGTAAATAATGTCTTTATAATTTTCGAGATCGGATATTAGTTAAGCATTTGCCAATAAGAAACAGACAACCATATAGATAAATAATTGTCTTCTTCTACGGCCTGAGTGTTTGTTTATATGTGTCTCTTATAAAGTGGTTTTTGTGTTTTTGGGCAGGTGTGGGACTTGAGCTCTCATCTTAACGCTTTAGTGGAGTCAGAAACAGAAGGTAAAGATGGAACTTCACCAGTTCTTACCCAAGCACCCGCAGCTAACTTTGCTGGCCACAAAGATGAAGGATACGCTATAGACTGGAGTCATGCAACTGCGGGAAGACTTCTCTCCGGTATAGCTATCTCTGAAATATCTACAATACTAATAATGACATTCTTTTCAATATAGTTGGTCAATGTGTGTTTTTTCTTTTGCCACTGGTTAGGGGACTGCAAGGGTATGATTCATTTGTGGGAGCCTACTTCTGATAAATGGGCTGTTGATCCTATTCCGTTCGCCGGACACGCTGCAAGCGTTGAAGATTTACAAGTAAATCTGTAAATATGCAGCTAAATTATGTGTCTACTGTTACTGTCTCCTTTTGGCTGAACATTCTTTTCTTTCTTCCAGTGGAGTCCAGCTGAAGACAACGTGTTTGCGTCGTGTTCTGTGGATGGGAATGTTGCAATTTGGGATATTCGACGTGGGAAGTCGGCTGTGTTATCTTTTAAGGCACATAATGCAGATGTGAATGTCATCTCATGGAACAGGTTCTTCTGCCACTTCGATGTCTAACTTAAATATTTTTGGTTTTATGTTACCTGCATATGGCTCATTCTTTATTTATCCTTTTTCATGAAGGCTGGCAAGTTGCATGTTGGCCTCAGGTAGTGATGACGGGACATTTTCTATCCGTGATCTTAGACTTATCAAGGTACGCTAGAGACTGTAGCTTTATATTTCCCCCTGCAATGTCTTAATAATATTCTGATATAGTAGCATTTGAATCTTGAACCAGGATGGAGATGCTGTGGTTGCACATTTTGAGTATCATAAGCATCCTATCACGTCCATTGAGTGGAGCGCTCATGAAGCCTCGACACTTGCAGTCTCTTCCGGCGATAACCAGCTCACGTAAGCCACAAAACTTATACATAAAACATCGATAATCCCCATAAAAGCCGAACAACTGTCTAATGGTTTTTTGCTATCATTTGTATCTGCAGGATATGGGATTTATCCTTGGAGAAAGATGAGGAAGAGGAAGCAGAGTTCAGAGCCCAGACCAAGGAAGAAGTCAACACACCTCTAGACTTACCTCCTCAGCTTCTTTTCGTTCACCAGGTAACATTGCTTTAATGTCTTTATCACGGGGTGTTATTCGATCGATGTTTCTGTTATCTGAAAACCTCGTTTTTCGGGAAACCAGGGACAAAAGGACTTGAAGGAACTTCACTGGCACAACCAGATTCCAGGGATGATCATCTCAACTGCTGCTGATGGTTTCAACATCTTGATGCCTTACAACATTCAAAACACACTTCCGTCTGATCTCGCCGCCTGAAAAGACACGAATCTTTGTCTTGTCTGAAAACTCTTTTTGTGTCACTCAAATTATATAGTCTCTTGGGTTTTTTTATTGTCCTTTCTCTGTTCTTAAATTGAACTTACTCGTTTCATTAATGGCAAGTTTCAAGAACCATACTCTTTCACAACTTTTAAGGTTTCATCATCATTTGATTGATTTTAGTTGTTACAAATTGTCTAATAAAATGTTGAAGAACAAAAGGTTAAAGAGAATTCTAACTCGGTAAATGAATCTGGGGGTCTGAATACTTCGATTACTTTTTTCACCATATCTTATGCAAAATCAAATCTATCATACTGTAACAAAGAATTTTGAAGTACATAATGAGATTAAGCTTGGGTTTACCAACTTGTGAGCTTCTATTTAGATGTGTACCGTAAACCCTTAGGTTGAAAAAAGAGGTTAAATTACCTGAACAACTTGATCGTTCGCTGAGATACATTTTGGGTTATTGCCATCAAAGGACAACGAGCCGTGCAGTGATATAAGACCATGAGCCACTTGACTTTAGTATGAATCTCACATAATCTAGGGAAAACACGGCCAATAGCTGCTTGGGCTGGGGGCATTCTGTCTTTAGGTATCTACATGATGAACAAGCGGCAAACATCAACCAACAATGAAATCACCGACCAAGAATAATTAAAATAATTTAATAGTTTTCACTTGTAATTAGTTATATCTTATTGTAAATTATTTTTTATAGTTGTACTTTTGATATAAGATAATTAAAATACATTTACTATACTTTCATATAATAAATGTATTTGTTATATAATGTTGTATGCGTGTTTCACATAATAATGTGGTTGATATTTTCCAAAAGCTATTTAACTTTGTTGTACTAGTTATATACTTAGTGGTACTAGTTATATTGGTATGGGATACATTGTTTTAATACAATTTTCTCACCAAACGGATATTAAAATGGATATGGATGTCATTTAGAACAAATATGTATTTATTATTTACTAATTGAAATAGATCTTGGTGAAATACTTTTTGTCATTTTATTTTTATATCAATTTTTTTTGTGTGTTGTTAAAAAGTTGTATTTATTTGATTCAAATGCATATTTGGTCTTATTTACTAATCAAATGGATATTGATTCATCTTTATAATCTTGTACAATTAGCAAGTTTGGAAGAGAAGTAAAATCACAACAAGCAACATTACAAGTAAAACTAAACATTTGTAATATGAATAAGCATATCCACTTGTGAGTAAAAATTCTTGAAAAATGACTCATAAACATATCCAAAATCCGCTCAAATTATTGTAATAATAATGCCCAGAGATGAAACTTGATCATAATCTTTATCGTCAGTGTAGGAAATTGCAGGTATGGACAAGCTCTGAGCTTCCATGTTCTTTCCCAAGTCAACTTTTCGTTCAATTACTCACTCACTTTCCTCCAAAAACAAATATCAGTTTCTTCATATCCATATTGCCGATTTCACCATCATCAAAGACAAGATGGCAAAATTGATTTCACCACATACCCTTTTCTTCGTCTCTTGTCTCTGAAATCAAAGAGAGTCCTCATGTCATGGTTGATATTTTTGTCTCAAAATTTCGTTATATACAGGTCCGTAGGGTTGCACACCATGGATGTGTACGTGCAATGCCACAAAAACATCAAGTCTGTGTCTCTCTTGGTTTGATTCTGTTCATGTACAGGTAAATAACGTCTTTATAATTTCCGATATCAGATATTAGTAATAGCATTTGGCTATAAGAAACAAAAAAAAAAAATTCATAAATATGTTTTTCATTTTCTTGCACGGCCTGAGTGTTTGTTTTTGGGTAGGTGTGGAACTTGAGCTCTCATCTTAACGCTTTAACTGAGTCGGAAACAGAAGGTAAAGGTGCAACTTCACCAGTTCTTACCCAAGCACCTGCTGCTAACTTTGCTGGCCACAAAGATGAAGGATACGCTATAGATTGGAGTCCTGCAACTGCGGGAAGGCTTCTTTCTGGTATAGGTATCTAAGAAATATCTACAGTACTAATACTGACATTCTTTTCAATATAGTGGGTCAATGTGTCTTTTTTTTTTCTCTCTACTGATTCGGGGACTGCAAGGGTATGATTCATTTGTGGGAGCCAGCTTCTGATAAATGGACTGTTGATCCTGTTCCGTTCACTGGAGACACATAACGCAGATGTGGATGTCATCTCATGGATCAGGTTCTTCCGCCACTTTGATGTCTAACTTAATTCTTTTTGGTTTTGTGTTTCCCGCATATGGCTCATTCTTTATTCTTACTTTTTCATGAAGGCTGGCTAGTTGCATGCTGGCCTCAGGGAGTGATGACGGGACATTCTCTATCCGCGATCTTAGACTGATCAAGGTAAGCTAGAGATCATAGCTTTATAATGATACCGATAACTTAACAATTTTTCTGATGTGATAGCATTTGAATCTTGAACCAGGATGGAGATGCTGTGGTAGCACATTTTGAGTATCATAAGCATCCTATCACGTCGATTGAGTGGAGCGCTCATGAAGCCTCGACACTTGCAGTCTCTTCCAGCGATAACCAGCTCACGTAAGCCACAAAGCTTATACATAAAACATCGCTAATCCCCATCAAAACTGAACAGCTGTCTAATGTTTTTTTGGCTATCATTTGTATCTGCAGGATATGGGATTTATCCTTAGAGAAAGATGCTGAAGAGGAAGCAGAGTTCAGAGCCCAGACCAAGGAAGAAGTTAACACACCTCAAGACTTGCCTCCTCAGCTTCTCTTCGTTCACCAGGTAACATATTTACTTTAATGTCTTTAGCTCGGGTTTATTCGATCGATGTTTTTTTTTTTGGTCTATCTTTTCGTAAAACCAGGGACAAAAGAACTTGAAGGAACTTCACTGGCACAACCAGATTTCAGTGATGATCAGCTCAACTGCTGCTGATGGTTTCAACATGTTGATGCCTTACAACATTCAAAACACACTTCCTTATGATCTCGCTGCCTGATAGACCGGAGTCTTTGTTTGAAAACTCTTTTTTGTGTTATTCATATTATAGTCTCTTTGGTTTTGTATTGCCCTTTCTCTGTTCTTAAATTGAACGTACTCGTTTCATCAATGGCAAGTTTCAAGAACCACACACTTTCACAATTTGAAGGTTTCAGCATCGTTTGATTGATTTCAGTTGTGACACATAGTCTAATAAAATGTTGAAAACAAAAAGGAAAAGAAAATTCAAAGTCGGTAAATGAATCTGAATACTCTGATTACTTTTTTCACCATTTTTTGTTTTCTGCCAAATCAAAATCTATCAAACTGTAACAAAGAATTCTGAACTAAATAATGAGATTAAGCTTGGGTTGATTAAACATGGTTTCTTGATACAACAACAAAAAAAATCCTGCAATTTGCAGGGCCTCCATATGAAGGTATCTATGAGCCAACCGGCTTCCCGTTTAGTTTAGGGAAAGGATCTTGCTTGCTTAGAACTACTACTTTGCTCTTGTGTGCCAAATATCCTTTCACAAGGTTTTTGTATATCAGGATCGTCATTATACATTCCACCTGCAAAGAATATTATCAGAACTGTGAGTATATAGAAATTCATTCCAGTAATTTGGAAACGCAGAGAAAAGCAATTGATAAAAATGAGAAACCTCGTCGAGATCCATGTCCATTTCTAGCCATCTAAGTGTTTTAGCAATTACTTCTAGCTTCAGCTGGTGAGCTCTCGCTGGATCCGTCTGCTTCTGGATGATATAACTGAAACATTGACAAAAAGTAATGAGACTAAAGTAATCTGAGAATGTTCAATGGATGTATAGCTTGTGTTATATAAACACTTCTTACATTTTCTTCATGAGTCTCTGGTAGACTTGGAGCTCTAGCTTTTCCAAGACAAGATACACACCAGACCTCAAGAACCTGATCAAGAATATTAGATCGATATAAAGTTATTCGGTGATATAATCCAAACAGATAAACTCCTTTATTCAATTCACCATAGAAATACACATCATAGACAGACTTGACTAACAGGAGCATCTCTACTCTCGACCCAATTGCCCCAACTTTCTTTTAAACTGTTAGCTCTCTAGCTAACCAGTTGTTGCTGAGCTACCAACACAATTACAATCTACCACAAGCCGCCTACGCTAATTACAATGCTCATGCACTAGTCTAACACAAGGACTTAACATTATGTAGATAAGTACAGTAAGATGACAATAAAAAGACATACCGATCTTCATGTTCTTGAAGAGCATGTCGGAGAAGCCTGAGATCACCCTTTTTCAGAGCTTGCACAACTTTTATGTACTGGATACGTAGAGAAGTTGGATTAAGAGATAAATAATACACCCACAGATGCAAAATAAGTTTGACGAAGAATTGAACAGAATTTTATAGAACAGAAGGAAAGTTGTTACCTCGTGAAGATTATAATTTCGCAAGAGCTCATCTTTTGGTATTATTCCTAACGAGAGTTTTACGGGTATCAAATACTTCAATATCATCCTATTCCACATAAGCCACATAAGCTCATTAAGCAACGCAATGCCAGAGTAAATGCCATATGATAATCAGAGAGTAGACCACAATCATACCTTATATTCCGTTCTCTGTTGGGGTTGCAATATTGTAAGGCATATGATAGTTTTGTATCAGCCTGCAAGAATGAAGAACAGTAAATGCGGCTATCAATATTTTGATTAATCCTACAAAATGAAACATGACGGATAAAGAAAGTCTCTCAGTGACTCACAGCAAGAAAATTTTCGTTGAAGACTTCTAATCTTCCGGTATAATACATATATGTAACCTGCAGTGTTTTGTGAAAAAAAAAAGAAAGATAAGATATATATGTAAGCAAACCGGGAAGCCAAAAACTAAATAGACTAGCAGAGAATTGCACTAGACCCTGTCTCTTCTTGGAAATTCCTCAAAGTCAAATATCCGAGCAGTTTCAATACTTCTTATTACACTTCGACAAAGATTGACTGTTCCAAGCTGAAAAACAGAATCAGGGAGACATGTTTAGTACTCCAATCAATGGTTGATCATCTTCCAACCTTTTACTATATGAGTGAATGTAAATCATTTCCAATCAAAGAATATGAAACTATCGTCGGAAAGCAAATTACCTTGAAGTAGGTCTTGAACAATTGGCAAGTCACATATAATGCTCCGACTCGTTTTGGACCTTTCCCCTAAAGCCAAATAGAGAAACTCAACACAAAAGTAAACAACAATTCTTGAAGATAGAGAGATAGATAGGGAAACGTACAGCAAGGACTCCAAAAACCTTCATGAGAAGAGATCCAGCCGCTTTTAATTTCTCGGGAGATTTTCCATTAGAGGTCAATTCTTTATCAGCCTGCATTTCCATCCAGAACCAATTCATACTCTCAGAACTCAAAAGTCGGCGCCATGATACTAAACAATTCTAAGATTTTGGATAAGGGATATAAAAGCAAAAGACTACCTTTTCTGCAAGAATTCGAACTTCATAACAAACTACATACAGAGCTTCTAATGCCCAAGCAGATTCCCAATTACGAAATTCCTGAACAAAAGCACTACACATATAGAATCCAACAATATCAGACATTGTGAACACAACAAAAAGACATGAATGGAGCAGAGAGGAAAAAGGAAAACTTTACTTGGCAAACTTCTCGAACGCGAGATATGCTTCGACTAGATTCCCAACCCGATAACTTTGTAGAGACCGAAACAAATGAGCCAATATCTCGCCATGTTCAGAGAATTTATCAGATTGTCTTATCAGGCTACTAGCATCCTGTATCAATCAATAGAAAAGGAAAATTCAAACCATTCAGCCCTTTCAACTCTCTACACATAAATCAAGAAAGTTTCAAGAACTAAATCTAAAATTCATACTCATAAACTCAAAATATATACAAAGAATGCTTACTATTACAACTGAAATTGAATCTAAAAGCCACAAACTTTACCAACATAAAGATCATGGTTCTATTGCAGGAACACACTCCTACTGTTTCAGACCCTAAAATTCAAAATTCATACTCATTGGTGAAACAGAAGTACCCACTTGGATCATACAAAGCACCCTGGATTGAAATTGAACCTAATTCCCAAAAATATACTTCAAAGCTGCTAATTTACAACATGGGTCTCGATCAAAACAGTAAACTTTAATCGAAATAGAGAAATTTCATGTACCTGGAAGACGTTGAGTGCGTCGGCGAGTGAGAGAAGAGGTGGAGAATTGGAAGAGAAAGAAAGGAGACGACAGAGAGTAGAAGAGTCTTGGTACGAAACGGCGTCGCAGAAACGATTCATGTACTCAGTGATTCTCCTGTGAGCTTCACCCATGCTAACGTAAGCCATTGTCAGCTC